TGTTTTCTTGTTTAAAATAGGTAACAGTATTTAGAACTTCCCATTTTAATCTCAAATGATAATTTAGGTTTTGGTTTTACCTTTGATGTAAAAGAACTTTAATTAGTAGTGAAGTAACGATTTGGATTTAGTTCGCAATCAGTAGCTTCCTTAGCAAAGAATTACTGTGTAGATGTTTAATCTTGTGCCAGTAATAACTTCCTATACCTAGAAATCAATATTAAATGAAAATTGTGTGTTTTTTGAAAATATAGAAGACAAAGATTTGACTCTTTCAGTTACTTCTTCTTTAGCCAGTAGCGATGAGGCTCTGATACAGAGGCAAGTGCCTTTTAGTCTCTCAATGAGAGGCATTTATCATTAAAGAAATTATCAAATTACAGAAATTGCTACAGTATGGGATTTCTGTCGCATAATAATGAATATTACGTTTATTTACAAATCAATTACTTTTAAAGGTACCTTCATCGAACAATCAAATTTGAGTTAAATGTCCCAATCTTCATATGAACTGTATTAAATTATATGTATTGCGGTTTAGATACACCCTGTATGTTTGGCAAAATATTTTGAAAATGTGCGTTACAGTGGCCCCATCTTATGTAAAAATTGAAATAAAGAACCTGAAATAAAACGTAATGGGTAAAAGAAACTTTTTTGAAGACCTGGGTCCAAGCTTCATGTGGTATGTATAAAACTAGTAGCCTAAAATTTATTTTGGTTCGTCCATTCTAAAAAAGGAATTAGAAACACACCAAATACAAATAACTCCTAGGAAGGGTATTTGTACGGTGAGTAAGTGTTTAAACGGGCCGAAGGGGTAGATATAATAATGCACAATGAAATGTAGAAAGGGCCGGTAAACACCTTTGTTTATTTGTTGAGCAAAATTCCTTTAGAATATCGTATATAATGACCAAAGGAAATATGACGCAATTTTAGAAAAAATGTCACTTTCAGCTTATAAATAAGGGTTTAAAATGCAACGTTTATATTCAAATTTGTTATGATCTACACAACAGTTAAGTAGTAATTGGGACGAATTATAGAATTCAATTTACCAGCTACTACGTTCTTGTTTTAATAGCTCAAAGTGGCAAATGCTGGTAAAATTATTTTTGTTGACAGAGGCTCACTTTGTGAGACACTTGTACGGCAATTACGGCACTGGCGGAAACAATACCACCACCTGTGAAAGGACAAATTCGGGTAATTTGGGCTTATTTTCCACACATTTGACACTGTCATTACCATGCTTGAAAATTCGCAGATTCAAAGGGTACGTTAAACAAGAAACCAAAGGCTACTGAAAACACTGAAAGAGTTCAAAGCTTCGAGACTTGATTCCGACTTCAAGGCATACCTAAGTAAAACTGGTAGTACGCTATAACGGACCAAAGGGGCGTGCCGAAGGGTGGTGGGACGGACGGCTCATTTCATTCTGGAAGATTAGCAGCGACGTTGCCAATGTAGTTCCTGAACGTTTCAGCACATTAAAACTGAGTAAACATATCAACTAATGAGTAACACTATATATCCTCACAATTTAATATATTATTACGTAGCGCAAAATAAATATTAATTTAATTAAAAGGATATTTATATATTTGTGCATTTTGTGAGATATGTGTTGAGTAAATTAACAAAAAAATAGTCATAGGTTAACAGAATTGGAGTGATTTTAAAAATATAAATATTTGAGATTTTCGATTCGTGTTATTTTTGATCGCTGATATCTTTGAGACGGTTGATCTGAGGAACTTTGACCGTTTTTTCTCGCGAGGATGTGGAAACAAACCATTCCGAAATTATTGAAACTCTAAAATAAAAAATAAAAATTTCTGTGTTATTTAAATGGAAAAACAACAAACCTTAATATTAATATTATGGGTTCTACTAGGCGCCAAAATTTTTGTTTTTAAATGTACATTCAACTTTTCAACACCATACGGATTTTTTTTTATTCTGAAACACCCTAATGTTTAGTGAGTATTTTTATCCAGTCAGCTTAAGGAGAGAGTCCCATACTGCTCCGAGACTATCTCGGCCGGACATAGAAGTATTTACACCAAAAAAACTATTTTAAAGTAAAAAAGCTTTTACTTGGACACAGATAGATATCGATAGGTTAAATACAGTTTTAGCTGGTCGGATGAACAAGGCATATTTCAGGAAGTCGAATATAATTCAACATTATTACTTTCGTGGTTAAGGGTGTGAGACGGTATTAGCTTTGGAGGAAAAAGAGAACAAGCGGAAAACTAGCAAGTTTGATAATAATATTAAAAAGTTAAAGTACGCCGCGCTGGCATCGCTGAGGTGAGTTAGGGAACTTTTGAATCTGGCCCTAACAAAGGCTCTTAACCTTCATTACATAAATTTCCGTTCGATCATGTCGTTAATATAAGGAGATATAGAGAGTATGAGTTATGTTTCAGACCACTTTGAATAAGTTCAAGCGCTTTCATGTAATTATGATCGAGCCAACTTTCGATAGCTTAATTTTGATTGTTCCTCCGGCATTTTTATACCAGTTTTTACCATTAAGAGTTCGTACTAGGAATGGGCGGCAATGAATTTTACCTATCCAGAAGTTATCACAATTCATACGCAGTCAGTACAATTTAATTTTCGATATGGTGATAGTTATCGATTTATTACCGAAATCCGATAGTTATCGATAATTATCGATAGTTGATAGATTGATATATCGAAAAAAAAATCATCCCTAATTGTAAGTATATCTAGTACTATATCCTCTCATCTCATAAAAAGTGGCCTTATGAAATTGTAAAGAAAATTGAAAATATAAATTAATAATAATTTTGAAATATTCAATTATTGATGTCTTTAAAAATGTAAATAAAAATTGCTCACAATAATAAATTTTGATATATCGCATAATTATAACACATAATTATTCATATACATATTAATATTTCGATTTATGCAGGGTGGGTCTTAAATAAGTGCAAATATTTTGTAGGGCTGGTAGATGTCGATAAAAGAAACATATTTTCTCTTTACCGTTTTTCAAATAAGTCCAAAATAACCGAGTTATTTTACTTAAAAATAATTTTTTGCTTAAATTTTGAGAACCTCTGGATTTTTTCCGGGTTTTCTTTAATGTAAAGTTAATCTCCTACCTACGTTGCCATATTATCAAGAAATTATGTTTTTTAACTAAAAATTAAAAAAAAAAATGTTGGCGAAAAAAAAACTCACAATGAGCTTTCTGGGGTCCAAATATACTACCCCTAAAAATATTTGCACTTATTTAAGATTCGCCCTGTATATCGATACCTAGTTCTCAATAACCAATGCTTATGAAAAAGCTAGCAGTACATTGATATAAAAAGATATATCTATAATTTTGATATTCGAGAATACCACATATTGACATTTGATGGCTATCGATATATCGAAAAAAAACATCCCTATTTCTTATTCGTTTTTTGATGGGAATATCGAAAAGGGAAGAACAAATATTTTTAAAGTTTGATTGTCTTAACTTTGACCTTACATAGCGATGATATGCATCAAAAATTAAATGATTTATTGCATTTCTTGTCACGTTTGCAATGTTTCCAAAAGCTTGCAGACGAAATTTCTACCTATTTAGCGCTTATTTAATAGTATAACCACCATGAATGGGTGTACGTTTTCCGAACTTAATTCAAATTAATGAAAGATTTTTGCAGGGTGCCTTATTGCACCCTTTATTGGGGAAATTTTTCAAGCGCCATCTCTTTCGAGATTTTCCTTTTAAAAAATGAAGATTGACTGGAAAAGCTGTCTCATTTGCCACTGGAGACATTTGTTATACACCTTGGAAACCCCATCTCGACTGTCTGTATCCAATGAATACAATTTCAAGCTTCTTTTCATGTAATAAATCTAACTTTTAGTTACATATGCAGGGGATTTGCCGAATATATGCGCAGTTTTAAAGTTTTCCGAGCTGTTAATTATTTTCTCCAAGCTTCAATTTTTACGGATTTTTCCCAAAAAATTATTTATGTTCTTTATAAATAATCAGTTCTGGTCTTGTCATTGTACTTTAATATTAAAAAGTTTAAGAAATATCTTATCCGAGATGAATCCTTATATAATGGTCTTTCTTAAAGGTTTGTCGTGTACCTTCACTCAAGAGAACCAGAGCTATTCTAATGATCTTATTGCGTGTTTCCAAACACTTTCCCTATTTACTTAGAACTCTTACCTTGTTATATCTGTCACAATAGCACAAAATGATATTTCTAGCGACACAAACGAGCGATCAATTAGTTAAAAATTGAGCGAAGCAGTTTTTTTATCTTGTGTTATAAGCAGGCTTTTTAAAGTTGCAGTACATTAAAAGTTCGTTCTAGTAAAGTGAGTTACATACTGAAAGCATTTGAACATTTTTACCCTTTCAAGTTCCTTAATTTGCCCTTTAATTTAAATGAAACGTATTTTGCACGTTGTTTTGCCTAAAGGGTTAAGAAAAACCATTAAAAACTTTCAGTCGGAACGCTGTTTTTGTTGTTGGAACTGAAATAGGAAACGATAAATTAACTCGGCAACAATTGAAAACGAAATTGATTTAGAGAATTTAATTTTATTTATTTGTTCCAACTGTCTCTGAAATTTAATAACAAATTTTCAAAGTTATTAATATTATTATGTCCCTTGTCCCTTGGCTATTGATTTTTTATGGCTTATGAAAACTTGAAAAATAATCTGACTCTTAATAGGCTTACTTATAAAAAATAAACAATAAAGTTTGATTTCAGTAAAAAAAATCATACTCTTTAATTATTACATGGTTAAAAATATGAAAGTATCCCATTTCAAACAAATATCTTTACAAGGTTTGATACTTTATAATAATAAAAAAGTAGTTATATGTGTTAATAAAAAGTTACTGTAGGCGCGAAATTTGATTTTAAAAAGCGAGTATAAAAATGGCTTGAAATAGTTTACACTGGGAAGAAGTGGATTTCTTTTGAGAAGCTTACCTAATAGTCGAGACATTTCTTCTTCGGTGATAAAAAAGTTCAAGTGTGCACTGGTCATGTCGCTTTTGAATAGTATGAACGTGAAGGAAAAGAGCGACAGGATGAGGAGCCTCAGCCACATTTTGATACATCCAGCGCCGATATTGAGGCACCACTGAGCGTCGGGACGCTCACGACGGATAGAGCGATATAAATACAAGCGCATTCGAACAGGTCCGATATATCCACGCACACTCGACAATTATTGTTGTCACTTTTGCACCGAGGCCTCATTCAACAATTATCATTCGCTCAATAAATTAAATGCTTTATATTTTCCAAAAATGTCAATCAACACCTCTTCAACTTCGGCGACTTGCTCAGAAGATCAAATTTTTATCGTCAAGGATCCTAGAACAACACAGTTAGCATAATTATATAAATTTGAGCATTTATGGAAAACAAATATTTAGTTTACCTATTAACCTCTAATTATATACTTCTTAAAATCGAAACGTGTCTTTGTCAGAAAAACTGTCAAAAATGAATTTTCTCAAAAAAAAACTATAGTTTTTTTTTGAAAAAAATCATTTTTTGGATCCTTGCCTTTGAGCGATTTTTGATTTTGTAAAACCTAATACTGCACTCGCAAGTCTACAATGCTCTCTATATTTTCTTGTTGTACTAGCAAAAATCGGTGACTTGACCAAAATCGACAATAATCATGATTGTAAAAAAGTGGTAGAATAACTAATAGTTATTCTACGAGTATCGAAAAATAATAACCTAAGTCAGCAATTTGATCTTTTATAGGTAATTTTATGTAGATTAAAAGTATCTATACTTTTAAGAAGATTAAATGGATGGGTTTTGTTGGGAAATTAGTCCTATTCTACATATTTTAATTAATTAATGAAAAATATGGCTTAATCGCTAATTTTTATTAATTTAATTTTTTGTTTTTTTTCTATCATTTATAGGCATTGGGAAAATAGTAAACATGGTAAAAAACTTGATCATTTTTAGGAAATTTTACATTGATGAAGAATATGTATTCCTTTGAAGGCTTGAGTACTTTGTTTATATGAAAAAAAATTGTGGGCCTGAATCTCTCCATTTTTCTGTATTTTAAAATAATTATCATCAGACTGTAAAATCGGATTTTTTTAAATTAATTTAAAAGAATTACTAAACACGAAAAGTTGTAGATATAAATATAGAACTACAGTATAAAAATTCAAAGTTTTTATTATAATTTGGACATAATATATGCGTCAATTTCATTACATAAACATAGTACAAAAATACAAATATATTATTACAATATCCGTGTATATGTTACAAAAATACAAACATAATTTATTGGCACGCACATTCAGTGACAACCATATCCCTGTATTTTTTTAAAATTGTGTATTCCTCGTCTTTATAGAGGATGTTCAGTGGGTCCAGTTGCTTTGCAGCGCAAACGGGTTCAGGGACATCCTCTTCATTTTTCAGGAATACTAAACTCTGCACCAAGGCATGGTTGGTGGCTGAAATAGGCCTTTTCAACGGAAAGCTGCACCTAAACAGAGACATTTCATGTGTTAAATGACCTTTTATAATGTTTAAAAATAGTCAAAAATGGGTAAAATTTCTACTTTTTTCCATACATAATAGTCATAAAATTTGGCGATTTTGGTCAGATCGTGGATTTTGGTAAAAATGCCGTTATGGACTAACTAAAAGGTGTAGAATAAGAAAATATAGGCCATTGTGGCCTTGCTATAACAGGAATGGAAGTAGAGGACGTTTTAACCATCATCAAAAATAGTTCAAAAACAGGGGTCCAAAAAATTAATTTTCTCACAAAACTAAGCTGTCTAAGCCTTTAAATAATTCCATAATTTTATTACAATGTTTACTATATGTTCTCTATCTTTCTCAGACCTTTAAAAATGAGTAAAAAAGTCGCCAAAAATGGGATTTTTTCGACCCATGAAAATTGGAAAATTGACGATTTTTGTCATGTCACCGATTTGTATGTAACTGGTGTTATTTATTAATTACTGCCAACACAGGAAGTTAAATACCTGGGAATAACCCTGGACAGTAAACTCCTGTGGAACAGGCATATTAAGAACACTACCAGCAAAGCCATAAAGGCTCTCATGATATGCAGAAGACTGGCCGGAAATAGATGGGGCTGCTCCCCTAACATTTTGCGCTGGATGTATACCATGATAGTAAGACCCATGATTACTTATGGAGCAGTTGCCTGGTACACAAAACTAGAGCAACGGACGGCAAGGCTAAACCTATGCAAAGTCCAGAGACTAGCATGTGTTTGCATCACAGGAGCCATGAGAACCTGTCCAATAGCAGCAATGGAGGTCATTCTAGATCTAACACCACTGCACATTGTCATTGGTAGATATGCCAATGCGACAATGATTAGAATGGTCACTAACGGAATTAGTACTGGGAGAATTGTCAGATCAGGGGCTTGGAACACCCTCAAAAAGGAAATACAACTCATGCAACTCCCAGTGGACGATATGCCAAGAACGTACAACTTTGACAAACATGTCAATGTAGTATTGAGCAATAAGAAGGATTGGAAGAGCGAAACGCTTGCCCAGCAGTTAAAAGATCATACCATAACTTGGTATACTGATGCTTCCAAAACCAATACGGGAACAGGGATCGGAGTGATTGGGCCGAGAGCTAATTACTCCGAACCAATGGGCACTTACCCTAGTATCCTACAGGCAGAAATCTACGCTATCGAGAGATGCGTACAACTTATCTTAGATAGGAACTATCGGAAACAAGAAATAGCCATCTTATCTGATAGTCAAGCAGCGTTAAAGGCGATCAACTCAGTCTCAATCAATTCGAAATTGGTCAAAGAATACATAGAGAAGCTGAATAAATTAGGCAAAGAAAACAAAGTCCTCCTACACTGGGTGCCTGCTCACCAAGGGATAAAAGGCAATGAAAAAGCAAATAATCTAGGTAGAAAAGGAGCGAACACTCCACTAACTGGACCAGAACCGTTCTGCTTTCCAAGTGGTAACCAACTCAAGGAGGAACTCAAGAACTTGGAAGATTCCATCCGCAACCTGGAATGGAAATCTTGCAATGGTCTAGGACACTCGAAGAAGTTTCTGAGGGCTTATGATCAATAAAAATCACAGATCTTCCTAGGTCTGAGTAAGAACAATCTTCGGATTGTCAGGGGTTTTTAACAGGACACTGTCTCCTCAATGAACACCTCAGTAGATTGAAACTAAGAAAAAATGGCGAATGCAGATTCTGTGGGGAAGATGGTGAACACCAGTACACCTCATCACTGAGTGCGCCGAGACGACAACCATTCGTGCCATGAATTTTGGTACGACTGATATTGGAGATGGAGAACTACCCTCTATAAAACCGTCCCAGATACTGGCTTTTGTCAAAGCCCTGGGACTGTATGATGAGTTATGATTCAAGAAAGGGGGACACAATGGATCTGTAAGGTCGAAGTGATTAACCCCCCTCCCACTCATTCTAAATTCTAATTCTAAAAAAAATTCTATTTATTAATTAAAAGGTGTAAAATCAGAAAATATAGGTCATTGTAGTCTTACATGAACAGTAATGGACGTAGGGGACGCTTTAACCATACCATCATAAAAACTAGTTCAATAACAGGAGCTATCTAAGCCTTCAAAGGTGTATATATTCTAAATGTTATTACTTATTGACTAATGAAGAAGTGTAGCACTAATAGTGTAGAATAAGAAAATATAAGCCACCCAACGTCAAAGATCGCTCAAAAACAGAGTTCGAAAAATTATTTTCTGAGAACCAGACCAAATCAATTAAGTCTTTCAATAAAGTGTAAATATTCCTATTCTATATAAAATTTTGTACTTGTAATTTTTTTGTTGTTTGTTTATTATTTGTTTTAGATCCTTAAATATTTATCGAAAATAGTCAGAAATGGTCAAATTTTTAACTTATTTATTGCTACTTATTCAACATACATATTTACCTTCCTCTGCAAAATGCTGATGTATATCCTGCCGGTGCAATGATGAAGTCGTCCCACATAAGTTCTCTGAAAGAGATTTTATAAGGGTACATGCTGCACCCAGTGTCTGCCTCCAGGTCTTCCATAAATTCGAACATCTCGAAACCCGAGGTGTCTCTGGGCGGCCTCAGGTTAATCTGGAACAACTAATAATTTATCTCGAGTGTTGTCGAGTTGCTAATTCCAGTAAGCGCACTCACCTTATTATCATTTTTCAAGAAAGAAATGATATAAGGCAGATTCTGACTTGTAGAGGACTGAAGAATCAAACCAAGAGTTTCTAAAGATGTAAAATGGGATCCCTCATCCTTCTGGGAAGATGCGTAGGGAGATACTGAAAGATATATTTCTTCTAGAGATCTACCGGACTTTAACCACAGGCGGAATAGGTATGAAATGTCTATCGACAGCCATCCAACATATTCTAGAAAGAGATAAAAATAATTTCCTTTCATTAAACCGGGGATGGCGAAGCTTTTTGAGACATAGGACAAATTTTGTTCATATTTTTTTAGGGGGCAGGATTGGGTAGAAAATTTTACATATTCTACCGTATTTTCTACACGTAGAATATTATTTTTCTACACCAACTATTTGTTCGTATTTTCTACATGTCCGACATGTCCATTTCTACAATGTCATATTTATTATTTAACTAAGAGTTTTTATATTATTTGAAATAGAGATGGTCTATCCAACGGGAGGATTCAACAATGACAGTTGTCTCTGTCATTATAATTCACAGGCATATCGTATTTTCTGTTTTTTTTTTGGATCAACTGATTTGTTGGAGAGATTATAGTAAGTTTTAGATTTAACAAAAACTATTTTTCAATAGTAAAACTCATAACAGAACAAGAAAAAAAAATGATAACACCTAACAAATCGATAAAAATAAGAACTACAGTATCAGTTAAAAATCTAGCGTGGGTCTAACTAGGTCAGAGATTCGCCATCACTTGATTAATCTAGTTATTTTACATTTTCAAATAATACCTGCTGTAGTTAGTTTTTCTCCAACCTTTTTCAACTTGATTGGTCCACTCTTGGTCTCGATAGGTGTATATAGGGATATTTTGTACATTGAACGTGATCCATAGTATTGAGTCGATTCCTCTTGATACAGTCTCAGTTCTGCATCGATCAGGGATTCAGACTCCGGGAAGTTCTTCAATGGAAAGGCCAGTTTGTGATACTTGCCTACACAATAAAACAATTTGTGACAAAGCAAGTTATTTTTTATTATATATACCTTTTGATGTGAGCTTCAGAATGTTTAATGAAACTATAAGGTCGCTGGTTTGAACTTTGTTGAGGATTTCCTCGCCGAAATATAAAGCAGCTCTTTTGACCCTTTTGCTAGTTACCTCTTGTTTTAAAAATTTGTACACGTCAAGAAGAAACTTTGAACTGGATCTATTTATAATTTCCGGATTGAAGCTTGGTCTTTTCGAAACGCCAAGCATCGCCATGAAATCTTGTTGTAGTTGTTCTCTCTGTTTTTTCGTTAAGTGGATTGGGATCTCTCTAGGGCACATATCCTCATTCGGGTTGGTTAACGACGGTAATATTTGCAAACAACTAATTAGTAATGGCAAAAGATTCATTTTATTATCGGTGAAATGAATTAAAAAATGTATTTAATCTGTTATTATTGGGGCTCAGTCGAACGAACTATTAAAAATGGCACGTTTCATTTCATTTCTGCTCTTTTTTCTTCGGAATTCTGTGTGTTTTTTGTGCCTCACGATCATTCTTGTTTTATTTAGATACCATGTTCCGTAAAAATAATTATATTTGTTATTAAAAATATAACTAATGCTAAATTAAAATATTCTCTCTTAAAGACTTTTTTACATAGTTGTTAGTTTTCTTTCAAATCAATAACAAAGGTTTAATAAATTAATGTCTTACAGAATGAAAGCATTTTAGCCCTTGTATGTACACATATCCATACTCTACATAAAATTTCCTATAAACTATGGCCAGTTTTTCGACTTTTTCCATACATATAGTCATGAAAATTGGAGGTTTTGTTCAAGTCACCGATTTTGATAAAATTGCTGTTATTAATTAATTAAAATGTGTAGAATAAGAAAATAAAGCATATTGTAGCCTTACTAAAACCAACTAACTGCTATTAATAGAGGTAGGGATAGTTTTAACCACCCAAAAATCGCACAAAAACAAGAGTTACAAAATTAAAAACGTAATTTTCTAACAAAACCAAAGCATTTTAGCATTTAAAAACATTTCTTATAAAGGCAGAAATTTTCAAAATTATTTGACTATGCTTAGGTACTATTTTTGAAACAAGACTTTTGAAAATCTGATAATAATTAATAATTAAAAATATTTATAATATATAACGAAAATTATCATTTTACTAAACTAAAATCTTATATCTATCTTTGTATCTAATTAAATATTACATTTTTATATTTTACGTTGTGTTTTTATATTTTAATTTTTATATTATTTTTAATAAGTTGTTCTTGACATATTGGTGGAGTAATTATATATCTACGTAATTGAAAAATAAATAATTTTAATAAAATTAAATATATTTTTTGTTTTGCAAACAAATAAATAATGCTACTAGTTTAAATAAATTTTTATTTTAAAATACAATAATATTTTTATTATCTTTACGCTTTAAATTTCATTATATTTAGAAGCGCAAGTCTTTCTTAAAGTGTCGTGGATTCAGATTTAGGCAACCAGTTCTACATGTTCTGGTTTAATATGGTATAAACGTGAAACTACTATTTCTACTCAAACATTTTAAATATTTTATATAGTGTTGTAGTTATTGTACTCTTTACCTGTGCCGATATTTTATGGACAGCCCGTATGTGTTACAATGAAATTGTTAACTGTCCCTTGTGGGTAGTTCGGAGTTAAATTTTTATTTTTCTCTTTAAATTACGCTGTTTCATGTGATAAATAAAACAACACCTGAACTGGGATAAAATATGAGCCCAAGTTCCGTCTCGCTTATCTAGATTAACTTATTTCTTTCGGAGATAGATATGGAAGTTAGGATATAATTCTATGGCAAACATGTCCCCGGAATCTTCTTTTGTTCTGTGACAGCTTTTTGGCCGAGACCGCTTACCGAATTTATTATTATTATGCTAGTTCTCTTTCTACAGAGCAAAACAAACGCATCTAATAAACTTTTCACCCTCAATTACGAGTCTATGGCATCGTGCCCGCAGCTATTTGGACAAACAAGCGAACGATTTTTAATAATACAGGAAAAATTTATGTTTCATGAGTCATTTATTGATTTCCCAACGTTATTAAATTTCGTTATCGATAAAGACGTTATGGTCATAGCGGGGGAGGTCTCGGTATTATGCCGTAAATTCCATATAATCATATCCTTACGCCATATCCTGTCAGATTTTTATGAATTTGTTTTTGTTTTATTATTAGAGCTCTTCATACCACCATAAAAATATTCTCTGGGATTTAGGACTATAAAAATATCAACGCTTTCCTTCCTCCATCTACCACTCATATCTGTAATTATATAATTTACTTATTCAAAATTTGTTTGATACAATAATATGTGGACATTTACTTTTTTTTAACTGTCTAATCTCAATAAAATTTTCTATTAACTGTCAAATATTTAGAATTTTTTCATTATGTTGACTATTTTTCTAAGGCCTATGGAGGCACATATTCTGTGAACACATCGACTTTTTCATTGCATTTCACCTATCATCAAAAATCGCTGAGTGACTTTTAACTTTCATCAAAAATAGCTGAAAAACAAGGGTCCAAAATGTTTTTCTCACAAAGCCAAGGTTACCCCTCAAAGATGTACATATTCTGAATCTACATAAAATTTCCGACAAATACTGAAATTTTCATAATTTTGAGACTATATTTCTAAGGCCTTTGAAAACGCGTAAAAAATAGCCAAAAATTAGCATTAATGTGACCGATTTTGTTAAAACTACTATTATTGACTAATTAAAAGGCCTAGAATAAGAAAATATAGACCATTGTAATCTTACGAGAACAGCAATGGATCTAGGGGGCGTTTTAACTATCTTCAAAAATAGATCAATAACAAGGGTAAATAAATTATTTTCTTTCGCAAAACTAAAATATCTAAAACCTTCAACAGGTGTGTATTCTGAATCAATATAAAAAATTTTACAAATGCTGATATTTTCATAATTTTAGGACTATGTTTACTATTCAAAGATCTTTTAAAATGTTTAAAAATAGCCATAAATGGGCGATTTTTCGACTTTTTTTCCTACATAATAGTCATAAAAATTTGCAACTATGGTCAATCCAATGATTTAAAAAAAAAACAGCTATTATTATTATAAAAAATACTTAGACAAAAAATCATTATGATTTTTTTCCAAACAAAATGGTGTTCGCTAAATTTTCTTGGAGAAGATAGTATTTTAATTTTTACGAAAACTAAGTAAACGAAGCGTTATAGCGAATTCTGTCTGTTTGGTACTGAAAAATAATTAAAATTTCTAGGGAGGGTTTATTTTATTTTTACAGGTTGACTTTTTATTCCTAACATTTATTTATCAAAACTTATTCTTATCGATAACCTGTATCCAGTTTCCGACGTCCTATATGTCTTGCTTTTCAAAAACTAAAGAGGAATAGATGTTAACAATACTAATTTCATGGAGAAATCCATTTTGAGAGAGCCACACCTCAATTCAAACTGTATGAATGTAATAGTAAGGGAGCCCTGTATAGACTTAACATATATCACTGAAAATCCATTTTACTAACGTGAAAGTTAAAGAAGCTCCTATTCAAAAGACTGATGATTTGGACGATACCAAAAGTTATAGCTGATTTTTTAGAAATATGTAGTTCTTAGCACCACACTTTCACAGAAGAAGAAATAACTTCTTCTGTGACACTTGAATGATTTTAGTTACCTGATGATTTTAGTTACTTCAGCTTTAGGAAATCGGCAAATTGCTGACGTACTCGAGTTTTTCTAAAGATCATTTTTTTACTAGTCTGATCGGCTGCCATACACGCACGACCCTGTATAAAAGGTTCATGTTTGGTGGGACTACTTAAAAGGATACAAGATTTCTCCCATTTTGTTATATTCTGTCATTTCATTTTCGTTATACCATACTAATTAATTAGGTTAAACTTGTTCTAGTGAAGACCTAAACCCAGACATTGGGATCAGAGCTCGAATTGAGATGGCTAGATCAAACTTCCTAAAATTGCGGAACCTACTGTGCGATAAACGTCTCAACATCCATATAAAAAACAACTTCGTGAAGTGCTACGTACTTTCCACACTTCTCTACGGGGTTGAGTCGTGGACACTCAAAGTAAGCTAAATGAATAAGTTGGAAGTATTTGAGATGTGGGTATATCGCAGAATGCTGAGAATACCATGGACTGACCGTGTCTCGAATGAACGAGTTCTAAACCAAATGAACAAGGACCGAGAACTCCTCGACATAATAAAAAAGAGGAAAGCAGCCTATTTGAGCCATATCATGAGACATAGCAAGTATGCATTCCTTCAGCTCATCATCGAGGGTAAAATTGAGGGAAAGCGCAGACCCGGACGACGGCAATGCTCCTGGCTGAAGAACATCAGAGATTGGACAGGCCTGGACTCACATACTTTGCTGAGAAGAGCGAAAAATAGAGAGGAATTTGCCATGGTTGTTGCCGATCTTCACTGAATGGAGAAGGCACTTTAAGAAGAAGAAGAAGAAACTTGTTCTGTTTTTGCGATTTTATATCACTTAACTTAAATTCAACACCTATCTATATATATCTTTACTTTTTTACCTCTCTTACCAAGTTCCAGACAGTTCACAGTCGGCAATTTTTATATCTAATTTTACTTTTAAAACTAATTGTTAAAGTTTTCATTGTATATAAAATAAAGTATTAATTAAGAAGAAAAAAAGTAAAAAATATACATAGGATAGAGAAGCGTAAAAGAGTCAATTTTTATCAAAGCAGCAACATTAGAAGAAGCAGCTTTGATTCCTCAATATCCTCAGTAAATCCTAAAGTTTCCCCGTGGGCTCCCCTACTATAACATCTCTATCTTTGTCTGCCTCTGCTCCAATGTAATTTCTGATTTGATTGCTTCAACTCCTGTAACTTATGTTATTATAATATTCACCTGGGACTCAATGCAATTAGCTGTTTATACTAAACTAATAAGGTTGTTTTACTGTTTTATGTTGGCTAGTATTAATAATGGCGTATATTTTAATGAACAAAGACAAAGAAAAAACACCTGTTTTAAAAAGAAATATTTTATTTCATTAGTAAATTGTCAAAAATTGATTAAAATTTCTAGGATTGTTTTGCTACTTTAGAAAAGAACAATAATTGAGACGTCTGTACGACTCATTATAGAACTAACTCATTTACAAGATTATTCAAAATTTATAGTCTACTCTGTAACCTCCATAGAATTTCTAATAAATGTTGAAATTTTCAGATATTTTTATTTTGTTTCCTATTTTTCTACGACTTTTGAAACCATGTAAAAATAGCAGCAAAAAATGGATATATTTTCGACTTTGTTTTATACATACAGGGTGGTCCGAATTGTATTCGGGAAACGTATAAAGGTATGTCCTAAAATGCTTCGTTTCGGAGATGCAGGGTGTAGAAGTTTCATTTTTATTTCGTTTTTTTTCAACATCAATATTTAGATTTCAATATTGAATCAATATTGGATTAAAATTGGTGTATGGATGTTTTTTGACATGAGAAATATTATTTCGATGTCTATATGACTCCTACTTGTTGGGGGCGCCACCTAAATGAGTTTTAACTGATTTGAAGACTAATAAGTTTGTGTCCGTACCTGTATAAAACTACTGCGTGAAAAAAATATACACTTCCGTAATTTTTTAGGTAAAAATGTCTCTTGGTAAAAATCTACGAGTAACCGTTCTCAATATATTTAGAAGGAAATAGTCAATACATGTCATTATTGGCAAAAAATAAGCATGTTGGGTAGATAGTTATTTGACTGAAATGATAAATTTGAGAACTTTGTATTTTTTTAAGCTAATGATGATTTTTTCTAGAAATAAATTACTATAAAAAAGTTTCTGTTCAATCTTTGGCACAAAAACATTTCAAATTTATTATTTCAGACTAATATCTATCCAGTCAGCATGTACATTTTTTTCAATTATCACATGTATTAACTATTTCGATTCCAAATATCTTGAAAACCATTCTCGCAGCAAGTTTGACCAAGAGATATTTTTACGTAAAAATTACGGAAATGTATACAAAACACAATCCTCCTACTTGTAGGGGCGCCTCCTACAAGTAGGAGTCATACTGACATCGAAATCGAATTTGTCACGTCAAAAAACACACAGATACAAATCTTTGTCTAAATATCGGGGGCAGCTCACAAATTATTTGGAAAAAATCGGAATAAAAATGAAACTTCTACAACCTGTATCTCCGAAACGAAGCGTTTGGCACATAAATTTATACGAACTTTTTTACTTATTTTTATCTGCAGAATATGCTGCCGAAGTTTTTCGAATACAATTCGGACCACCCTGTATAGTCACAAAAATTAGGGATTTTGTTCAAGTAACCAACTTTGATGAAATTGCTGTTATTAATTAATTAAAAAGTATAAAATAAAAAAATATAAACCATTGTGGCCTTAGGAGTACATTAAAAGCTGCAAGGATAAGGATAGTTTTAGCTTAGCCATAATCAAAAATCGTTCAAAAACAAGGGTTTAGCACCAAAGCATTTAAGCCTCTTTAAAATTAAATATACTCTTAATCTACGCAAAATTGCCTATAGGCGCTAAAATTTTCAAAATTTTTACTATCTAACAAGTATTTTTTCTTACAATATTTTTAAATTACAAAAAGCAAGGAGTTCGCTATCCATTTTAAACATTAGGGAGCATCAGAAGACCACCATTTGTTCTCATTACTCTCCAAATTGCTATAATGCATTTCTTTTGCTAGCCTTTTATCATAGTTTATATACTACTTCGTCCGTCATACATCGGTGAAGAGATTGATGATGAAAAAAAAACAAATAAATTGATTATTTGTCTTTATATGTACAGGATGAGTCTTAAAAGTGCGAATATATTTAGGGATGGTTTATTTTGACCCCAGAAACACATCTATGAGGTTTTTTCGCGAAATTTTTTAATTTCTAAAATAACTGGGATATTTTGGACATATTTGGAAAACGGTGAAGAGGAAATATGTTTTTTTTTTATTGAGATCTACCAGCCCTAATAATATTTACACTTATTTAAGACTCATCCTGTCTATTATATTCCTTTAAACTTTAAATATTTGATATAATATACGCTTTTAATTAGAGTATTAAAACTAAAGATATTTAAACTAAATATCTTTGATTAAAACGAATTGCTATATATTTCTTAAATGGAAATTTAATCAAAGCGTTCCCTAAATACCTAATTTCAAGTATATTATATATGTTTCATAAAATAATACTGAAAATGTGTTGTCTTCTTTGACAAAAAATTCTGTGAAAGAAAGATTGAGAAACTTTCTTTTATAACGTTTGTTACAATGCGGGAGAGACATTCCTGAATTGAATATGATGTTTGTGTGAAAACATTCAGCAGTATATTCGAAACGTCGCTATGGAAACAAAAACCAATGACGACCCTGCATAGCTGATCTGTATCATTAGAATATGATATTGTTGACGACGAGCCGTAATGAGCTTAAACTTGGGTGTTTGCTACATCCCCTGGATTTAACGATTTAGCACGCCTATATGGATAATTTTCACCGCTATTTCCTACCTTTAAATTATTCTACATTCGCTGTAAAATCCACCCTTTGTTTTGTACTCATTTATTCATAAAATAAAAGGAATTAATTAGGTAAAATAAATCAAAAGAGATTACGAGAAATAACTTTATTTGATGAGAAAAAACAAATGTTAATTTTTCAACAACGTCTTTTTACAATAATGTTTTTTTATGGAGTCAAATAGAACAGAAATAAATAGTAATACTGATTAGATGAAGATTTAGGAGATCCTGTTTTACTGAGTCTTGGAAAAAAGGTTTTAAGAAAAACAGTCGAGTACTACCATGATACATTGTACTTACCCCGCGTACCTGTAGTCATTTTATTTAATTTCCACTCGAAAAGACTAGGTTTGGTTTTTGACTGAGTCGGAAAATAAAATAAAATTATTACACCGTACTGGGACAATACATTAGCTAGGATACAGTTATAAAAAAATAAATTAAATAAATAATAATATAAGTCATGCAGCCAACGGCTGTGGCCGATTAGCGGCACAAGTCAAAATAAAACTGTTTTTTGGAGGAACAGTCAAGAAAAATAACAGAAGAAAAGAATTCGATGACGAGGTTCATTCAGATTATATAACCGAAAAGGCAAATAAAGCAAATCAGTCATGAAATTTCATGTAACATAAAATATAATAAATTAATTCTGAATATAAGGTTCCCTGACTGTTTCAATTCATTTTCTTTTTGATCATATGATAACGCTACGTCCGTCGCCGACAAGGCATCGATCGCCTTCGCAGATTCACTCACAAACATCTTTGGAACTCTAAAATAGCGTCTCTTTTAAATTTTTCTGGTCGTATCAGTTCGCAACTTTAACAAATTCGGAATTATCGTAACCACGAGCGTTAACGAATGTCGTGGCGAGGCCCTTTTTATCTATAGCACGTACCCTGACAAATAGAAAAGCAGCTACCAAACTGGCCACTATCAGGACCAAAAGTAACATAACCAATCCAGCTACGAAACTTGGCACCGACATGCAAATTGTCTCTGGATCGTGCGAAGAAGCGGATTGTATAACGACAGTCTCGTTAGTTTGAGCAGCATTCAGAGCGAAGTTAACGTCGCCAGGAGCAACAACCTGGATAGTCCTGCTCGTGTTCACATCAGTCATTTCTTGAGCCTCGCGTTTATAAACGTGACTGACCACGAAACTCATCACCTCTGGACTTCTCTTGCGTCTGGCACCTTGTAGCTCATCAGGAAGATTCTCTACTGACCTTGGGCGTCCCCCTAGAGTAGCTATTTTACTTTCCAACTCGTCGTTCACGCTGCTCTTCCTTTTCACGGTCGTGTAGAGGCCGTGGTGTCCTGGCAGCGGAGGAGGAGGAAGATGGATCTCGTTACTACCTTGTCCACCAGGATGCGGAGCGGGCGAAGACAAATTCGGTGGGTTTGAAGTGGAAGATGAAGAGGTTTGTGCCTGTGGAGCAGGAACTACGTCGGCGTTTTGTTCAGAGTAAGCTCCGGTAGGTCCTGAAGGGTGTCTGGGGTCGGGGAATGCGGGTGGGAGACCGTATTCGCCCACTGGAGGTGGTCCGTATTCGGCTGCGTGTCCGTAATCACCTCCTCCTCCTAGGGCATTGCCACCCAAAGCCGGTACACCGTATTCTAATCCAGGCCCATGCCCGCATTTCGGCTCGGCGCAGTTATATCTGCACACTTGGATCACGCACTGGAAGTGCACGTTCATGGAGTCAGGGAATTTGAACGCTTGGAAGTAGGCAAAGGACACGACCGAGGCTGACGGTCCGAAGTTCTTTATTTTCTGGAACTTGCTCATTATTTTCGGCCTGACCACGCACCCTACATCGTCGACCAGCGTGATGGGAGTTCTCTTACCGTCGTGGGCCACGCAGTTACGGACTAACATATCGAATTTGTTCTCATCGTCCTTGATAGCGAGCACCATGGTCATCGTTTGACCGATCTTCACTATTCCCGATACCTCCGACGCCCACGGTCCTTTTCCCACTTGTATCTGCATCCAGCATTGCAAGTTGTCGCCCAGGAAGTTAGCCATGACCGCGTGCAGCATGTCTACCTGGAACGGCCTGAACGTGACAGCCTTCTCGTAGTAATCGTACCAGGTGCATCTGAGTTTCCTCGCTTGATCCCACACTTCTTGCACGTAAGGGTCGTACTGAATAATGATAGTATTCTCTACGTAACTTCCGCTAGGAGTCGAACCCCCGTAATTAGCAACGTTATGACTAGCAGAAGACGACATACCGCAACTGTTCAGAAATATCTCGAACGTAGCACTCAAGTGTCCAGTACCCGGTTTTAAATGCACACAATGAGAGTCACTGTAGAACCCTTTGGAGAAGATCATTCCGTAGAAGGGTCGGTCGAACTCGATGTTGACGCGCATGTGCGTCTTCTCGCACTGGACTTGGAGGTGTTTGATCTTGGGCATGTCGGGCGTAGCCAATGGCCAGAGTTCTTCGTGCCCTCCTCCGCCTCCTAGGGGCGCGAGGGACTGAGGTGCATAGCCAGGCCCTGATAAGGGAGCCCCATACACCGATCTGTGTTCCAGAGGAAGGGATGCTGAATCCAGCGGCGCATCACAGTTTGTTTTCTGAAAATATCAAAGCAAATTGGATGAATGTTAGTTAAACGAAGTAGAACAAAATAGAAATTGAAGTGAAACGAATATAAAGAAGACATAGAGTTTCTTACCCCAAATAAATAGAATGCTAAAGTTCCGAGTACGTACAGCATCCGCGACCTTGTCATGGTGTACTCGCCGGTAACGGCCTAAAGTGCGTCTGTAAGAAAATAAAACACACCTTGACAATGAATTGGTGATGGCTATGCGTAGCCTTCCATCGCTCGATGGCGACCTACTGACACACTCTTGATAGTAAGCACAGTTCACCGACCGGCTGCTGTCTGTTCACTGAAGATGCATCAACATCTCGTCACTTTTCAAAACTAATTGCCTACTTCCTACCCTTCGGATCATGTTTATAATTATTAAAGCATGCCTCGCCGAGAAAAATACCTTTTTTCTTTTCTTTCTAGCCCAATTAATAAAAATTTGAACCTTAGATTAGAATAAATACCTAAGTAATCAACTACTCAATTGATCGGCCAATTATTTAAAGTAATTTCTAATAAATGATAATTAATAAAATCTAAAATCTGCTTAGGTATCTTTATTACCAAAACACAAAAGCCGGAAACAAAATGTTATCGACGACATTGCTACATTTCTTCGAGAACGTATAAACCTACTTTTAAAATTTCACCCTAACCAAAGCAATCTCTCTTGTTTTAATACCGATATCAAATTATATCGGTATTTATGTGAAGTAAAATCTCCGTCATAAATATTCTGGTTTTAAGAAGCTTTCTAATATTATACGGACGAGTAAGTGTATCAAACCCAATTACGGCAGATCAATAGAGAAGAAGCATATTTCCCCGCATTTTCTATTGGTTCTTCTTCAATTTTTATTTGAATATATTAGCGAAACAGCGATATTTTTCATTATTATAATAATTGGGCCTTTAATAGTAGCATCTGGAGAGATAAATAGACAGAAGAAGCATATTTCTCCACATTTTCTATTGGTTCTTCTTCAATTTTTATTTGAAGATATCAAACAAATAGCGATATTTTTCATTATTATAATTAATTGGACCTTAAATATTAGCAGCTTGGGCAGCTTCAGAAAATATGCTTCTCAGAGATCAATAAAGAGAATAAGCATATTTTCTTGCATTTTCTATTCGTTTTTCTTCTATTTGTATTTGAAGATATTAGTCAAACAGCGATATTTTTCTTTATGATAATTGGATCTTTAATGTAACATCTTGAGAGATCAGTAAAGAGAAAAAGCATATTTTCCTGCATTTTCTAATTGTTTTTCTTCAATTTGTATTTGAAGATATTAGCCAGACAGCTATATTTTTGATTATAATAATATTTGGATCTTTAATGTAACATCTTTAGCATCTTGAGAAATCAGTGAAGAGAAGAAGCATATTTTCTAGCATTTTCTATTCGTTTTTCTTCAATTTGTATTTGAAGATATTAGTCAAACAGCGATATTTTTCATTATAATAATAAATGGACCTTTAATAGTATCATTTTGAGCATATTGAGAGATCAATAAAGAGAAGAAGCATATTTTCTTGAATTTTTTATTTTATTTTTTAATTTGTATTTGAAGATATTAGCCAAGCAGCGATATTTTTCATTATAATAATAATTGGACCTTTAATAGTAACATCTTGAGCATCTTGAGGAATCAATAAAGAGAAGAAGCGTATGTTCCTGCATTTTCTGTTCGTTTTTCTTCAATTTGCATTTGAAGACATTAGCCAAACAGCGATATTTTTCATGACAATAATAATTGGGCCTTTAATACCAACATCTTGAGCATAAATCAATTAGAACTAACCGTACCCAAAAGTGGCGGCGGTTTTGAATAAAAGAGCACTTTTTGCTGAATGACGATAGATATAGCCAGCGCGAAACTGTTAAATAAATGAGCTCGAATAAGAAAAGAATATATCTGTTATATGATCCGCTAAGGAAAGATCCATATAACATGAGGAAGAATAATCGCACTTGACGGAAAATACACAGAGAGTTAAGCAATTTAAATATCCAATTAGCGAGAAGCAATTAGAAATAAAACGGAATAAAAACTACGACCAGTTAAAGGTAACAGATCGGCCTTGACTAAACTGCAGTTATACGAGATGTTTAGCTTATTATTTTCTTTAAATATCTGTACGTTATACAGGGTAATCCGAATTGTAATCGGGAAACATCGGCAACTTATTGTGCTGATAAAAATAAGTAAAAAAGTTCGTATTTGCGCATGTCCTAAAAATGCTTCGTTTCGGAGATGCAGGGTGTAGAAATTTAATTTTTAATTGTTTTTTTTTGCTAAATAATTTCTGAACTAACGTTTATATTTCGGTGAAAATTGGTGTCTGGATATTTATTGATATGGAAAATTCGATTTCCAAAGGGAAAAACTTTTCGTTCGTACCTGTATTACACTACTGAGTGAAAGAAATATACATTTCCGCGTTTTCCTACCTAAAAAAATGCATGAGCAACCGTTCTTAAGATATTCCGAATCGAAATAATTAATACATGTCACTGAAATAATAAATTTGGAATTTTTTTTTTGTGTCAAAGGTTCAAGAGAAACTGTTTTATAATAAATTTTTCTTTTAAAGTATAAAGTTCCTAAATTTGTCATTGCAGTCAAAATATTTTTTTGCCAATGATGATATGTATTGATCATTTCAATTCCTAATATCTTAAGAGCGGTTGCTTGCTCTTAGCGATTTTTACATCATTTTTTAAGTAGGAAACGGCAAAAATATATATTTTTCCCTCGGGCGTATACGAAAAGATATTACTCATCAAAACAGTTAAAAAAAACTTGTAAGCTAACTACTAGTAGGAGTCATATTGATATCGAATTTCCCATGTTAGAAAACTTCCAAACACCAATTTTCATCCAAATTTTGACGTTAGTTCTGAAATTATTTGGAAAAAATCTATCTAAGTATCTCCGACATCAAGCATTTTAGGACATAAAATTATACGAAATTCTGCAGAATTTGCCACCAAAGTTTCCCGGCTATAATTCAGACCAGCCTGTATTTCGTGAATAGTACAGCATGCAGCAAAAGGATTCTACTTTTATGTGAATGGCAGAAAGTGTAGAAATAACCCAAGGCGTATCAAAGTATCTGTGGACTGTCAAAGTAGCCCCAGTTTACCGTATCTATTTATTATCTATGTTCGAGATTGGAACGGCCTTTGTAGAAAGTGGAACAAGTGCTTCTTGTGATCTAATAGAGTCTGAATTGGTCAAACTCGTTCGAAGAATAACAACCATTTATGGATGCCCCAGGTGCACTTGTTGCATATTAGAAATTTTCATCGCACACACTCTTTGTGCCTTTTAATTGAAATCGCCTGGCGACAATTAGTTTTCCGTGTGTTTTCTCTTTTTTATTGTTTGTCTTCAGCGGGCCAGAACCGGGCTCAGAGAAATTCGACCGACTCAGTGACAGATCTTGTGAAACAATGCACCAAACAATAAACAATAGTCTTCGATAACGCAACGCATAAGAAAATTTATATTTTATAACCTGATTTCTAAAAAATGGTAACTAACAAAATTGAAAATTGTTAAAATTATATATGACCACAAGAAAAAAACGACATAGTGGTCTATGAAATAGCAATCGACATGATAAAACTGCTGTTTTACAAGTACGCCTGACACAGAAACACCGAATGTTAATACGAGCTTCATTTTGAATACGCTTAAAACTAAAACGAGAACGAGATATTTAATTTATTGTTAGGTAAATAATGGAACGTTATAATAAAATTTCAGAGCGATATAAATGAGCTAACATCGCCGAGCTTAATAGAACATGAAAATGGAAGCATTAATTGAAAGCCATGATAACGAATTATTAAAAATGCATGCGAGCAGTTTCAAATTATACGTTTTATAATTGCATAAAAGTGTGTCTGTGGCACACATCCGACGATATTTGCCGAAAATAATCGCCTCGAAATAATTACCTATGTTAATGTGGACGTTGTGGATTTTCTCTTTGGCTTTTATCGATACTTTTCTTTTTATAACCTAGAATATACCCATTTAAATGTTAAATTGCCTATAGAATTCTTAATTAATTATTTATTTCCACCGTAAAAGACGGGCAGCGCATTCTTTTTAGTTGTTCGGCCATTTATTTATCTCATTTCCAAAATATTCATGACGTTTCAACATTAATTAAAAATTTCTTGACCTATTAAGAATGTTTATACTTTCGTTCGGACTTAAAACTTTATTGACAAAGCGAGCTATGAAGTTTTATATTAGTTCATTGTTTTGATGGGTTTAACAGATAATGAATTTTACAAGACGAGTCAACGATAATAATAATGAATGCTCAGATATTTCAATTTAAAAGTATTCTTGAGTATATAAATAGATCGTTAAAAAAATTTGGCGGATTTTTTTTTAATATAACACCCTAATTTTTAGTTTATACAGGATGAGTCTTAAATAAGTACAAATATTTTCAGGGCTGGTATAGATCTATTTACCATTTTTCAAATAAGTCTAAAATAACCGAGATATTTTACTAATACTAGAAATTAAAAAAAAAATTTTGCTTCAATTTTCAGAACCACTGGATCTTTTCTGTGTTTTCTTTTTTTTGTAAATTTAATCTACTATCCATGTTGCAATTTTTTGACGATATTATGTTTTTTAGCAAATTTTTTTTTGCGAAAAAACCTCAGACGTGTTCTTGGGGTCGAAATATACTACCCCTAAAATATTTGCACTTATTTAAGACTCGTGTATCTAAAACTTGTACTACTATTCATGACCTCTGCATTCGAAACGTAGATACTTAAAACCGACATCATAAGAAACGAAATATGCTGGAAATTTTTTGACGATATTATGTTTTTTAGCAAATTTTTTTTTGCGAAAAAACCTCAGACGTGTTTTTGGGGTCGAAATATACTACCCCTAAAATATTTGCACTTATTTAAGACTCGTGTATCTAAAACTTGTACTACTATTCACGACCTCTGCATTCGAAACGTAGATACTTAAAACCGACATCATAAGAAACAAAATATGCTGGGAATATCAAAGAAAGACAGTAAAAAAATTGTGTGGATACAACAAAAGACCCAGGGAATAGATGTAATTCACAGAATCAAATCCCTCAAGTGGCAATAATGGGCAGGACGCCTTGTTAGAAGGACGGACAACAGAAGATGGACCACAAAAATTACAGCCCATGAGGGATTAAGAGAACCAGAAGAAGACTACATCTAAGATGGGACCATGCTATTAGGAAATTAGCAGGGATAACTTGGACCCGCATATCCCACAATAGACAACAATGGACCCAATTAAAAGGAGATTATCTAAATATATGACGATAATCTAAAAATTTAAAGAAATGTTACATATCAGCATAGTAATAAAAATAATAGTGGCGCTATTATTTCTGAATTTTGAGTACTCAAATTAGAGGAAAGTTTTATATAGATATAGAAAAAGATATATGTAAAGATATTGGAGTTAGATGCTACAGGGTGTTCAAAATAAATTAATGAATTTCGACTAATTACTTAAAATAAAAAAAATCTCAATTTATTTAAACGGCACACCCTTTATATTATATCATTTATTATTTTTTCTGATATAGATTTTACAAAACCTTTCAACTATTATTATATTTTATCCATATTTTTATTAGTTATATTAATTCTATTTGCACCCGTATTTTACTTTTTTCTGATAATTCGCTAAATTTGTAAGAAACATGTGTGATGTAGTTGTACATTATTCCTTTACAGTCATACAAACAATATAAGCTACTTTCCGTACTAATATACCGCAAATTAAGAAAAACATTAACGAAAAAGAAAGGACCGTATAGAAATTGATTGATTTTATCGATGTTTGCGTACACCTGTAGTAATAATGTTCTTCGGCGCGATAACAAGCGCATGCCCCATAATCCATTGACACACTGGCTTGCTTTCTATCTACTGTGTGCTCAATATAAAATCTTTTACACAGCTAGAAAGATTGGCAGCCGGTAGCAATCGAAGAAATTTCACTTTGTGATTGTACGCATTTCTTTGCCAGTCTATTATATCTCAGAAGCCGGTTTTTACATCTCAGAAGACATGAAAATACCATACGATAAAAAAAAACGCGTCAGAGTTACCTCGGAAATTAAGATTGCCGCCGTTTTTTTTTCGACCATACCGTATTTTTTTTAAATATAGCTGGGCCATTAAATGCTTCTAATAACAGTTAAACGTTTCATAAAAAAATGTAACGCTACCTGTATTAATGTTAAACACTATTTTCAGTTATGTGTTGAACTAACCGGTAAATGTTTTGTTTATGTTAAATTACTGTGCTTACTATCGCAAGAGTTGATTTTTATTATCACTAACGTTACCTGTGAATAATCCAAATCAGATATGTTAAAGTCCAGTGATAGGGTAGGTCTGGGAGAAGGGCACAGAAATATCGAAGAAAATGATATCAGTCCTTATTGACACTTCACTTGACACAGATCGCGCATATCGTAAGTCACAACGCGGCTTTCTACCACACGACAGCCAGTCCTCAGCGAGTTAAGCTAAAAGTAATACAATTTAAAATGTTCCGTTGGTTTTATATTGGCGTGAAAGTGTGCCCCACTCGCGGACCAGGGGTTTTCGAGCCACCATCTTCGTCCTATTCGGGCGTTGAGGAAGTTCCGGATTTTGACACGCCAATGTCACTTTCTTTTATTTCATTTCTCTAGACGCTCTATTGCACAACAATTGTATCCGGTATTTGTCACCCCAAATGCACTTTCGAACATGCTCTGGTCATCGCTTATTCGTCATCAAATTATGTCACACTGTGCAAAATTATTTGGTTACCAAACCAAGAGTTCACTAATTTTATATAATATCTACAAATCGAATTATCCTGATACACATAGGAATAAAAAATATTTATAACTTTGTGGCGGCTTCCAAATTAAGAAATAATATTAAATATTTATTTTTAAAAATGGTAAAAATTCTGTATATTATTATATTTTTTTGAGTTTCTACAATTAAAATAAAGGTGAACTTCAATAAGGTTTACTTCATTACCATTTGCCTTAGTGTTACAACAACAAGATAAAACAGTAATTCACTACGATACACCAAAACACTTTACTTTTGCACAATATCAGCAGATGATTAAAACTGTTTTATCATCTGCTGATGATGCTAACATGGTTAGCGAAACGCGCGTCCAGTGCAAAAGTAAAGTGTTTTGGTGTATTATGGTGAATTAGTGTTTTATTTTTTTAAGGTTTACTTCGCTTAAATCACACTGTATGATCGTTATCTTGGAACCGACAAGACTGAGTTTTATACAGATATTGTTACTGCAAGTAATAACTGTTGGTGACAGAACTTGGCAGGCAAAAATCAAAGGAAAAAAAGTTTTTGAAATATTTACAATTTTTTTTAAATGCTGTAAAAATTCTACTGATTAATTTCTCTAAGCCTATAAAAGTACGAACACCAGATATTGACTGAAGTATTACTTTATTTTTTTAAATATTGTGTTGCATTAATAAAAATAATACTTGCTAGCTTATACAGAGTGTCAAAAAATAAATTCTAAATAAGAGCTAGCTAAAAAAATATCTTACTTTTTATTATGTTTTTCTAAATTAAAAATGAAAGTTTCCATCAATGTCAATTATACGAGGGAAAACAAAATGTTGATATTTTGATGAAAGTTTGGAACACCCTGTGGAATGTGTTAACAAGGCAAGGAATTTAACAATTATTTTATATCTAGGTACGTCTTTTTGAAAGTTTGTTTTTTGATTCCTCTCAATAGCTTCATTTTTATTGGAGACGATTTTAACGCAATTTTAGCATTGATTTTGGGTTCTCATCAATACACTTATAAAATAGTGCTTATTGTTTTAAATCATAATAACTTCTTTTAATTTAAATTGAACTTTCTCTATATTCTGCAAGCATCAAATACAAAATTTAATTATCTCTCAAATTATATCACTCTATTTTTTATGTATCTCTTTTGTCTCTTTATCAGGTTTTCATAAAAATGCTATATTTTTGGAATTCGGCTACCAAACTTTCAGCTATCATTTAACCTTATAGATGCTGAACCGAGGGATGTGTTATAAAAAAATATTTTGATTTTTGAAGTTAATTATCAAGTTTTTAACACGAATTTATGAAATTTTACATATAATATGCCAAATCGTAAGGCGGATGAAAGGCTGTATTGGAAACAGCAACAGAAACCTAATACTGAAGCCCTCGCAATGTTTTTTGGGAACGCACCTGTCTGAAATAATTAGAGCGTAAATTGGGCCCCTAAAATTCGCCCAAAAAACGCACGTTTTGACTTCAAAATACCACACAATACACGACAATAAATGAACCACAAAAATTACAGCATCATACTCACGAGGAATTAAGAAACCAGAACAATACGCTTAAGATTAAGATGGAACCATATTAAGAAACTAGCAAGGATATCTTGGACCCATTTAGCCAACCATTATCTAAATATGTAAGGGAGGCTCCACCATAATTGGAAATGGTTGAATGAACTAAAAATGATGATATGGCGATTTAGAAAATGTCTATAACTGACAATCTGGCATTTTTTTTAATCTGAAATTCTTTTTTTTAATGTGCAGCTTCATTCTAAAACTTTTTCACAACAAGGAAATTTGAATATGGCACCATTCTCGTTTTAGATTACTTAATAGTGCTGGGTGTTTATTTGCAGCAATTTATTTTAACCACTATGCTACCCGAAATGTAATCAATCACTCTAGGTGTTGTATCTAGATATTATTATCCCGCTATGCCGCTACTGAGAGGCACATATTAATCTTTTTGAAAATCCACATTTCACAGTAATATGACAAAAAGGTAACTTTACGGGCTCTAACTAATTGTACTCCTATTTCAAATGAAAATTAACACTAAACGTTTTGTAGATCAATTGTTGTTTTCCCCCAATTACAACATTTCTTTAAAAAAGTAATTAAATCTAATTTTTAACTTTCTAGTATCATTAGTGGTCTTTTTTATTGTTTTCCATGAATTATTATTTAATATGTAGTATAGAAACTTAAGTATAGTAGTATATAAGATTGGTGTTTTGAGTTTTAATCTTGTGCGGATGATGCTAACATGGTTAGCGAAACACGCGTCCAGTGTTTAAAAGTAAAGTGTTTTGGTGTATTATGGTGAATTAGTGTTTTATTTTGCTTTCTGAAAGAATATAAACAACTGTTTCAATCCACAAAACCAAACTATTAAGGAATTTCTAAAAATTTCTCATCTGATGCGGACTTATGGGTGACACTGCCAAAAAAAAATTATGGAGATCTCTGTAGCCATATTAGGTATCTAAAATTATTCTGAATGTCTTAACACAGATGCATCTCAATTAAATAGTAATGATGGCCTGAATTGCCTTGTGAAATTAGTAGGCAACATCAAAAGTAATATTAAAAACATATAGTAGGTTAAGTATTTGACAGCATGTATAACTATTGATTTTAATTATTAAAACAGAAACTTATATTTACATAGGAATATATTTTTTTTAATATAAGTATTTTTTAAGGTACTCATTCTAGCGTAAACTGTTTTCGTTTTGATTTGGCCTATTACTTTCTCGTGTCCGGGTACACCAACCCATCGATATGGGTGCATGGCTTTAAGCAGCCAGTGAAAGTTACACAAACTTACCTGCGTCAGTATATATTTTACATATGACATATTTTGTTTCTTAACCGACGCAAACCGTTAGAGATATTTACGTCATAAATATTATGTCTGTTAGGGTTAGAGTAAAACAGTTTTGATTATATTTTCCCAGAAAATAGCTCTTAATTTTAAAAATTGATATTAGTCTCCGTTATATAGGTCTCTCTAGGGTTTCCATACGTCCGGATTTACACGGACATGTCCGCATTTTTAAGGTTTCCGTAATTTTAAAAAATGTCCCGAAAAAACTAACCGTAAAAATGACTTAACTTAATCGTTACATCAAATATATATTATTATTAAACCGGTATTGTTCGAAAGTACCCATATATGGTCAATTTTTTCGTTTTTGGTGCTTTCGTGGATGTAAATTATGATTTTTTTGTCTTTGTTTTGTTACGATTACGTGCATTTTGTGAATATAAGTCCGGCCAACGATCCATTACAGTGATAATTGTGCCTATCCTCAGAACACACTTTGCCTATCATTTTAAATCACAGGTAAATTGTATTTTCTGTCATTTTTTGAAAGTCATCTGTCGAAACCTTCCCTGGCTCGACAGATTTTAGCTCATGCTAATTGTACAACGGCTAAATTGGTTTGGAAGTATCCGTATATAACGAGCAATATTTAATTTTACCAATAAAATTAAGCATTTAATAATGCTCAGATAAATGTGTGTAGTAACTAATGAAATGCTCAAGGTTTTCTCTTCTATTAAAAAGGGACAATCCAATTCTGATATCATATATAACGTATACAGTACAAATCTTAGTACTGCTCACAAAGGTACAGGAGTATACTTATAACTTTTTCAACTGCTTCTAATTTCCCTTTTAAAGTCCGCCCTTCCAACCAGTCAGGGAAGAATATCGTCAGACGACATCCAAACAAAAATACAATTTACCTGTGAATTAAAATGACAGACACCAACTCTCACTGTCAGGTATTTTGTCGTTGTTTTTTGACAATATCTGGATTTTGTTCGGATTTCAGAGTTCACTTGTCCCGAATTTACAAAAACTTGTATTGGCCTAAAAAGCTAAGGGATGAAAATGGATTGAATTGGGTCAACTTTCGATTTTTAATCGATTTTCCATAAGAAGATAGCAGGATCTGTTGCGAAAAAAGATGCGGGTCAATAGAATTCAGCCTGTTGAGTCATTTTAAACAACACTAAAGAGAAATTATATTTATGCATACCGACAAATTAAAGTCCGTCCGTGCGTGCCTTGTTCAATGCTATTTATATAGTGTCGATTTGACACTGGTTTTGACAGTTAAACAGTAATATAGCTGAAAGCCGTTATGAATATTAATTTTTCGTTTTGCTGTTTTGTTTATATTGATAAAAACAACGTTTAAAACTTTGCGTGAATACCAAAATTGTTTCTTGTGTAATTCAGACAAACAAAGAAACTTTTCATTAATATTTCCGATAGCTTGGGCTCGAAAATATATCTCCCCTAATTCCAAAGTCACCCCGACATTACAATACGATATATATTTTGGCGGATTCTCGTTTATGCCCTAGATTACAAATTGCCTATATATCTCCATTAGGTAGAAAACCTATTAAACGATTCTGTAACATTTGTTAGACGCTACCAAGACTCTCAAATAGAAAGTACCTAACCTGAAATCACCAATACATGTGTGTGGTTTCAAATAATATTTATTTATTAATGGATATTTCACTTGGTATCTACCGCACTTATTTCTAAAAAAATATTTTTTTACATTCATTTTATGATTACCTATACAAGGTGTCCCAGAAATAAGTGCAAGTATTTTAACTGGTGTTCAACCCCAGAAACACGCAAAATTGTAATTTGAAAATTCGGAA